TATTCGAGCCGCTCGCGATCGGTTCGCGAGCAGCTCGATTCGCGAAACACCCCTAATATAGTCAGAGAAACTATAATATACAACTTAAAATTGGAAACAGATACAAATCTTAAAAAGAAACATCCAAATTTTTACATTACAACATTTTAATTTCAATTTAAATATGCAATTGTATCACTTAAATTTGAAAAGTTTCTACCTATCATATGGTAATACTAATCTTACCTGATATAATTAATATACTACTCTCATATTCCTTGGAAAAGATATGAGTCTAACAAGGGCAACATGAATATTCCTATATTACAATAAGGTAACTTCAACATGCAAATATTATGAAAAATAGATAATATAATCTAAATGCTTACAATTTATCCTTAGGAAATAAACTACACTACATTAATGAATTTATCCTTTTGCCCATTACTTTTCTTATCACATTTCTTGATTCATGAGTTTTGACATATCAATATCTATCATATAAGAGAAAATATTTTCATTCTAACGATTCAATTCAAATTTTGGCTCTAATCTTTATTTGTTGGTTCACAAAATGAATGAAAATTATAAAATACATCTAAAATCTTTTTTCCCAAACAACTAATATTCAATTTTATTAATCCTTTTAGTTGTAATTAAATTCTTAAAAGCATATGCTTTTATTTTTTCTTCTAATTCAAAGTGCACCACAAAAGTAAAATAAAAACTTGAAATGGAGACTCAAATATACGAGGTGTCACAAGAAAAAAATATAAGTTGTATTATATTAAATTTTCAATTCAAACAGCACATAAAATTGTTAGATTAGCAAATGAGAATAGCAATTTAGAAATTTTTAGCATAAACATAAAGCACATTAATTTAGACTATTTACAATGAAAGCTGGAAGTGTTTAGTATGTGAAATGTTAGAAAAATGTCAGGTCTAAATTTGAACCGGTTATTAATTGCTTTTCATTTATATATTTATTTTGAAAACACTTGAAAACTTATTTGATTATCTAAAAGAAATAAAGAATAACATCAACTTAGTACACGCATAATCAATCATTAATAGACCATATCATGCATTATTAAGTAACCATTGGATTTTCCCTTTTGTTTTGTTTATTGAGTTTCATTGAGATTCTAACCCTTGTAACAAGAAAAGGTAAAAGTGGGCTTATGATATAAAAACTTGCTATTGCAATACTAATATCCATGTTAGTTGAATTACGTTTAAGGAGCAAGCAAATATTGGGTTAGTGACCCGAAATTGAGATGAAGTACATCTATAGTTTCAAATATTTCTTTGGTTAGTTAATGAAAAAGATACTGTGATTTATGTTTTGCAAACTATAGTATTAGTGTTCTTTTGTTTTTTTAGAATCCATTTTGAATTATAATTATTTGTATGTTAATTTCATAAATCCCATTAGATAGGCTATTTCAACAAGTTAATTTGCTATATATAGCAAGGTCTAGATCCACTTCTTTATCTCATTGGATATTTATTATTCTATCAGCATTAAATCAATTGTTTATAGCTTTTATTGGTGTTAAGTTGATTTTTTTATTTACTAATTTAGACATATAAAAAGTATGTTTTTGATATATCCACATGCGCATGCTATATGTGTGTATATATAATATTCGAAGGAAAGCTATATAGTAACTAAATTCTATCGAGATGAACTTAAATAAACAAGAATGTATTACGATGGTACATTTGAGGAATGTTTCAGGAATTTTTGCAAATTTTTTTCAATGGATATTTATAGAAAATTTCAAAGATGTAATATTTTATGAAAGCTTAAAATGATCCCACTTATTAGAATTTTGCCCTTGAAGTTGGCAAAAACTTTGAGATGGTGATGATATTGGTCATGAATTGGGAAAAATAGGATTGAGAGGTAGAAGAAAGACAATCAGTAGGATAGAGGAAGTATGCCAAGAGAAGGAATAGATAAGTTTACAAAGTTAGGGAAGAGATGAAATTATTGAGTGAAAGATGAGGGATTGTAAGACTTGCATGGTTAGAGGAATGTGATGGATTTCAAGGACGGGAAACGTAGGGTTGCTGGATAAGAGGAGAACAGTTGGGACAGGAGAATAGTAGCTAGGAATGTGATGGATTTCATGGGGGGAGAATAAAGAAGATGGGGTTGGGGGTAAATCCCCCCACTTATAATTAAACAAAATATAATATATATCTATAGAATGAATTGAATAACGTGATATTTTTTTGTGAGAAAATGATGAAGTTTTATCATCAATATATTATGGTAAAGTGGTTATTTATTATGTTAGTTTACTTAATTTTTTCACATATTATATGTTTTTTTTTAAAAAAAATTGTAATTAGTTTAGATTTTGATGTAGTATCAAATATGGAAAAATGAGTTCAAAAGATCAAAGCAATTATTAACATTATTTCACATTCAAGATTTTTTACTAAAAATTAAAAAATGATTAGTTAAACCATTATTAATGTTATACATATAGACAACGTAAGATAAAATATAGAAATTATCATGATAGCGAGGCCATATAGGTACATCCATGAGGTTGTGGGAATGGGCCGAGATAGGTGTAGGGGTGAGGGTGGGGGAAACGGGATGGACGGAGATAGAGATAAGACTAGAAGGTTAGCGAAGTATCATAAAGGGGAGGGAGAGAATAGCAAGAAACATGTGATTATAACATAAGATAAATAGCGAAGAGGGGAATGAGGAGGAAGGTAATGATGTATGTATTTGCATATGTTTTGGATCTTTAGGAGGAAGGTAATAATGTATGCATTGGACGCATATTTTGGAATATGTGTTGTTACCTTATTTGGGTATTTTTTTCTATTTTATTTTTGTTGTTTTCTTTTCCTTTTTTAATGTAGTTATTTTAACAAAATATTATGGTATTGATTATGAGAAAACTTTTGCTCCAGTTGCTCTTTTGGATGTGAAGAATGCAATTTCTTAATGGTGATCTTGCTGATAAAATTATATGAAACCACCTTTTGGTTTTCCTCATCCTTCTCATAGATTTTATCGTCTTCTCCGGGCCTTGTATGGATTTAAACAAGCTCCCTGAGCTTGGTTTGCCAAGTTTAGTTAGACACTTGTTAAATTGGGTTTTGCATCTATTCCTTATTATTCTGCACCGCATGATGGCAACTGGTACCATCCTGTTACTTCTCTATGTTGATGATATGATTATCACTAGCGATGATTTGGAAGGGATTTAACCATTCAAGCAATCTCTGAATCAAAAATTTGAAATGAAGGATTTTGGATTTCTTAATTATTTCTTGGGTCTTGAGCTATCTTTGGATACCAATGGCTGCTGCTTATCCCATGAAAACACATGTTTCTAATCTCTTGACCTCTGCTGTTTTGATAGATAGTAAAATTATATCTACTCCAATTGAAACGAATACTCATCTTTCTCCCATGATGGCACATTGTTGGATGATCCTACACAATATGGTCGTCTAGTTGGTAGTCTCGTCTATCTAACTGTTAGCCAACATGATATTGCTTATGCCGTTCATATTGTCAGTCAATTCATGAGTGCTCCTTGTTTTGCTCACGCTGCAATTCTTAGAATTCTTCACTATGTCAAAGGCACCCATTTTCATGGACTTCATTTTTTGACCCATTCATCTTTTGAACTCCGTGCCTACTTTGATGCTGTTTAGGCTTGCAACCCTACTAATCATCGTTCTACTATTAGTTTTTGTTTTTTTTTTTTTTGGTGATTCTTTAATTTTTTGGCATAGCAAAAAATAATCAGTCACTGTCTGCTCTAGTTTTGAAGCTGAACATTGAGCTCTAACTGATACTTCTAGCTTTGTTGGTTGCTTGAAGACATGGGTGTCATGCATTCTTCTCCTATTACCATTTATTATGATCGCACATAATGATGCTTTCCATGAGTGCCCCAAATACATCGAGATTAATTGTCATTTTGTGTGGCAATACCTTGTCTGTGATATTTTGAGTCTATCCTTCATTTGTTCATCGGACCAAATTGCTTATCTCTACACAAAAGCACCATCTCTCAGTCGTTTCCATGATCTTGTGTGCAAACTCAATTTGGTTTCCTTGCAACTACCTTAAGTTTGAGAGGATGTTAATGTAAACAAAATATGAAATTGATAAAATCCAAAAAAAAAATTGCTATAAATTCTATTCAATCAAGCATGTCTCTCAAAATATGCTTGACTATCATATGAAATTCAGAGAGAAAGACAATAAGAGTGATGGCAAGTGTAGGAAAGGAGGAGGTGGTAGATGGCAGGTTAAAGGTCCCAAGAAGAGCGTTAGGAGGAGTGAGATGCATTGAGAGAAGAGGGTTAAGAGGAGTGAGATGTGATGGAGACTAGTAGGGCAATTGATGGGGAGGGAGGAGATAGGTGTCCAAATAGGGGAGAGAGGTGGGGTTGGTTGTTGATAAGGAAAGAGATGTTGATGCATGGGTGATTGGATATTTTGGAACATTTTTTTTTGGTGTGTGTGTGTTTTTTTTTTGGGAAAATTTAGGTAGTTTTGGATGTTCATTTGTAGTTTTGGAAGAGTTATTTTGAAAGAATATCTTACAAAAATACAGTGTTTGGCCAAAACAAACAAATTCAGATATGCAATAAACCTTGATAAAACATTTATCTTTTGTTCATTAGTTCTTAAAAGTTATAAACCTAAGAGAGTTTTGAAAAGCTACAAGTGTAAGGGAATAGTACTTATTTTGAAATAGCATAAATTTTATGATGAACGACTATTTTTTATCTCGTTATTTCCTAATTAAGTTTAAATAAATAGTTAAGCCTTTGTCCTTTTATAAGAAAGTAATACTCTTTCTTTTGAGATTGTATCAACATCTTTGGCATCAAAAGCAGGCAAGATTTTGTCAAGGACATCCTGGAGCTCTCTCTCTCTCAGCAACTTCTTGATGTGGAGATAGATCACAAGTACATGGATACTCAACATCATGCCCCGTTAATTTCACACCTGCACAAATATGCAAACTTACATGGAAACAGAGAGTTTGCAAGGACAGAATCCAACCATGAGCAACTTATTGACCGATTTAAACATATTTATTTGCCTGACACAGCAAGGAGTCACACAGCATCAACTGAGGCTATCTACATCAGGAATAGGTACAAGGAGAGTCCCTCAACAAACTTTTTTACCCAAACACTTTCATCAGTTTTTCTAATTTTAGGATTCTGATCTCTTTCTAGCACATCTTATAATTCACAATAGGTTTTAGCTAGTCATCTATCTAATAGCTGACAAATTGACCAAAATGCAGACAAAACTTCCTATCAATTCAAATGAGAGATTAAATGACCTTAAGACATAATCATTAGAGTTGCTTTATGCTAGTGTGAATTTTAACGAGTTTCTGTGGAAAAGAATTCTTCGAATTTTTTCGAGCTAGCCCGGCATAATATTTGCAGGACACAAATCATATACCAACACTTAGCATTTGTCAATTTAACAAGAACTTAGAAAGTAGTGCTGCAGTACCAAAAGCAATTCATAAGAGTGTGCTATGCTAAACATTCAATGATTCTCCTGTTATTTATAGGAGGCAAAACCAGAACACATCCAGGGTGTACTGACCAACAGGTAGAGCGACAAGGTTTTTTGGTTAGGTGGCCAGGGGTGCCAATTTTCTTGTAGAAGATGTTTATTCCTCAAAAGTAGAAGATAAAACCAAAATGATCCCAGAACTCATAATTGGCAAAGAAATAAACTACTAAATGGTGTAATACTTCATACACTCTAGAGCTACAGCCACGAATGATGTGAATCCCAAAGGTTGTGTAAGGTGATCCTTTTGGAGAACTAAATGCTGAAAGGAAGAAACTACTGCATCAAATATACACAACGTGGCATACAGCAAAAATAAAAAATCGAGTTGCATTTTTGAGAAAACCCAATCAAGCGAAAACTTAGGCAATTGCGGAGGAGGTGGTGTGATATTGGTGGTGCTACTGAAGATAAATCATAGGATGGCTCAAGTTCTTCGGTAAGGCATTGGACATCCATTCCAGCCTCGATTCAGATGAACTTGGTTCAACATCCAACCAAATTCAAATTTAATCCCCAAATGGTTTGGTCTAGCATCACAATCCAATAGATGGCAGGATAAAGCTCTTTTAAATTAAAGTTGGCTTTGGATGGGATGTTAAACGAAAGTTCATCTAGATCGGGGTTTCCTTGAAATGCAACCCAGTTCTTGCCCATAGAGGTTCTCTCTTGTATACTCTCTTTTTGTACAAATCATAGCAGCCACAGTAGATATAAGCAGTAAGTCGGCAAGTGTTTGGGTGCAAGATAAAGACCCAAACACTACGAGAAACTTCTATTCAGGATTGAAACTAGAGACAGGTAACTCCAGAAACAAGACCTACCAACCAATTAAGAAGGAAACGAAGTCTGCCAAAGACAAAGATTAGTTTGCTATTACACGAGTATTGATAACACTTCGACACAAGAAATATAGTGTAAAACCTTGACAAATAAGCTATATAAATAGATGAATTACGCTAGTCAAAATATTCCATCACCACTAATCAAGGCATTTACCCATCTCATTAATGCATAGAAGACTATATCAGTAATATAAAACCCTGAGTTATAGCCATTTGCAGTACGAGTCTGTCTGAATTTCAAGAAAGAATGGAATAACTCACCTTATCTAGCAATATTACATCCTCCTCTTCAACCAGAAATCCATTGCACACTGACTGGTTACAAGTTCTACAAGGGTCATACCATATCCGAATACATCCGTCTTCTCCAAAGGCTTTCCAGTTATTCAGGGGCAATGTGTCCCGTAGTTCCCCAGACTTGAGTCCTAATGTGTTAGTTTTGTACCCACTGAAGAAAGCTTCAAAGTCATCATCCAGATGGATGTTGCCAGCCTTCAAATCTTGGTGTACAATTTTGTATTGCAATGCTCATGCAAGTACTCCAGGACATGTGCTGTATGAAAGTAAATTCATTTCTACTAAGTCAATCAAGGCCTTTCTCTCCCGGTCTGTGGTCTATCATGGGCACAAATAGATATTTTACAATCACTGAAAGGTCATTGTTATCACCGCAAATTATGCCCAATAATAGCTAGCAAAGGCAACATATATCTCTCATTTCCACCTCAGTGACTAATAGTACCTTAACAAACAATAATAAATAATGATTAGTATTCGTGATATGGATTCAATATTTCCATTCTATGGTGGGTATCTTTTTTCAGTATATTAATTTACTGCATAAAGTAGGAAAAAATGTTGTGATGAAATGCTTCAGAAAACTAAACTAGCTACAGAGAATGGATGCTACTAGAAAAATCCAAGTATAGAAAATTTTTATCACAAACTTTTTTTTCTGAATTCAGAAATAAGATTAGTTTTCCCATCTTACAATTTGGATATTGTTGCACAAAATTTGAAATCCTCCATTATAAGCTATTAGAAAAGAACCTTTATCATTTCCAAATAATTAAGTCATCTGCAGGACAGTATCTTTTTCAATGTGATTTGAAGACCTGCCCTTAAAATTCTCACAAACTGATGTTGTGAAAGGTGTGATTACGGTTTAGACTCATCCATCTGAAAATAGTAAGATAGCAATCAATGGACATTGAATCATAACAGGGCACCATATAGCTTTTCCCCCATGAGTGCTATATCCCAATCATGAAAGAAAGAGATTAAATATTAATAACTTAAAATTGAAATTATGTTCTCTGTGAAATTGAATAAACTTGATTTTAACCTCTTATCATACCTTACAACCTGAATAAGATTGCATGATGAGTTAGATCCAAAAAGCAAAAAAATAAGGGCTAGCCCTGGTTTTGCTGAAGTTCGACATTCAAATTGAGAGGTGGGAGCATTCTGGTTTCATTTCAATATCTATTTCTTTTTCTTTTTTTTTTTTTTAAATCGTCTCTCAGATGTGAAAATTTGATTTTTAAACTATCACAAATTTAATGACAGCTTAACTCCATGCATGTGAACACAGGATGGAAGAATAATACTTTCTGAGCTAAACTTAAGCTGAATTTGGAATAATACTAACTCAGAAAGCATTTCTTAAACTCATTCTACAAACATTTCTACAAGGCCTCATTTAAATCTCCACCACAGGACAAAAGTTAAGTTGTCAACATGAGCAAGAAGAATTATTCTTCTTAATGGCATCCAAAAAACATGCTACCGTCATTCTCTTTGCAACACATGATCCCATTGCAAATTAGTGCATGCAGTATCAAAGCCATACAAATAAAATCTGCATGGAAGAGCTATATGGCAGATCAACAAAAGATCACTTCTCAATGTTGTTTATAAGTCACTAGACAGTTTACTTCTTCCACAGCCAATAGAAATAATCCATCACTTTCAAGCACAGGTTACTTAACAACATAAAATTATAGAGCCATCAAATTTGTTCCCAGGAGAGATTAAGAAATAGTCTTAACCACTTTAACTGATTTCTCTCGTATAAAATTCATGATGACTATTTCCTTACATTTTAATACCTGATTAATTGTCTCTATCCAGTTTGAGCTGACATCAAATCATCACACTGCAATTCAGATTCCACCCCTCTCCTGCTCCACCTACAAAGAAAAGAACAAGAAAAAAGAAATTGGTTGATAGGATGAGCCAGTAAAACTTTCTCTTTTTTTTCCCTGACCATTGCTGATGGTGACCTAATAGAAGTACAGTATTGCAATAAAAACCTTTCTTTAGTTACTATTGCAACTTAGGAACAACCAAATATTAATATTGAAGAATCCCATAATCATGTCTATTGTTAATCAACAGCCAAGCGGATTTATGGATGAGGAGAACTATATGAAAAAAAAACAGAGAATTTCTGGGATAAAGTATTCTAAGTTATTGCAAGGGAATGATATTTTTGCTACACTTCCACTAAATGTCTATATAACTTAGTACAGCATTAAAAATTAAAGGGAAAAACAATCAGAATACTTTTTGCTGGATCATACTTAAAAAGTTCAGGTTCAGTCAAATGCTGTGAAAAAAATCAATGGCCATGACTATGGACATCAAAATATGAATCCAAAGCAAGAAACTGGTCTAGAAAGTTTGTACACTTTTGAACCGGTGGAACTTTTGGCTCCATTTAGCAATTGAAATAAAAGTAACTATTTTATCATTCTTACATGAAAAAATTTCCTCAAAATTATAGAAGTGCAGCTTGAAACTTTTCTAGAAATTGAATATCACAAACTACATTGCAGATGATGTTTAATTCTTTACACTCAACAAATTCAAATAGTAATTATCCGAACTGAACTTAAAAGGCAAGCTAAAGTACCAACACCCATGAAAAATGAAGAAAAAGAGCCTGTACAATTTACCACTTAAGTGACATGCCACATTGAAGTTCTCCATGAAAAGATAAAGAAGAAGTCTTGAGAAGAAGTCTTGAGAAGAAGTCGTGCAAATCCAATTAACTGCACCAACTGTCTGTGAACTGATACACCTAACAATTGAACTTCCCTAAGGAATGCAGCTTCACCACCAGACCGATGCTCTCTGAGGTATTTCACAAAATATCACCAAGAGGCCTCCTCTAAACAAAGATGATAAGTGACAAAAGGATCAAATGTGAACCTTATTAACATTTCTACCAGCAAATTAAACATCAGGGGCCAAAAAACTGCACGACCAACATGTTACAACTAATGTGAAGGTCCTCTTTGTCCCCCATCCATGAACTTCTTGCTATCGGGATCAATCTTCAGCATCAAAAAAAGCACAGAAGGATTGTTCTGATTCGCAGCAGATAAATCAAGTAAAATGGAAAACGTAGATGCATCCAGCAAGAATCCTCTATGGACCATTTCTTCATGATAGACCATCGCATCATCATAATGACCTCCCTTAAGGAGTCCTTGCAGAATGACATTGTATGTAACACTATTTGCCAAGCAACCCTTCTCTTCCATTTTTTCAATGAGCTCTTTACCCTCGATGAGCAGACCTTCTGAAAGCAGGCCAGCAATCATGGTGTTGTATGTTATGACATTAGGGTCCAATCCTTTAAGGGAGAGATTGTTGAAAAGATCTCGAGCACTATCGAGCCTCTTGCTTTTGCACAACCCATCAAGGATGATATTGTACATTTCTATGTGTAGATTTGTTCCATCAGTTTCCATTGCATGGAATAACTGCAATGATTCATCGATATGTCCAGTCTTGCATAACCCATCCAACATCACGCAGTAAGTGTGAAAATTAGGCTTCATGCCAGAAGCTTGCATCTCATTGAAAATTTCTAGTGCACCAAGATACCTTCCTGAACTAAATAACCCTTGTAAGACAGTGGTATAAACAGCAATATCAGGTGTTAAACCTTTATGCTGAATCTCTCGAAAGAGATTCATGGCTGCTTCCACTTTATTGGCCTTGAAATAGGCATTTATCAGAATACCATAGCCATGGAGATTGGGTGTAAGCCGCTAGCAACCATGGTATTGAAAACTCTACTTGCGTCATCTATTCGCCTCTGTAAACAGTACCCATCCATTAAGGAACTGTATGTGACCAGGTCGGGATTTTGACCTTGCTGAACCATGATGTGCACTACCTCTTCAGCATCTTCTATATGCCCTTCCTTACACAGTGCATCCACCACTATATTGAAAGTAAAAACATCTGGAACAATATTATGAACCTTCATCTCAGCAAAGAGCTTGTCAACATCCTTCCATCTGCTTAAGTTGCACAGACCATGAATCAAACAATTGTAAGTGACAACATTCGGGGGAATGTCCTTTTCAATCATCTCCTGTAAGAGGGCAAGAGCTTCATCAACCATTTTATCCTTGCACAAGCTGTCAATGACAGTATTGTAAATAATTGCAGTAGGCTTACAAGGGCTTCCTCGTTTTTCCATTGCTCTGAGGAATTCAATCGCTGTTTGAGTGTTTCCTGCCTTACAGAGCCCATCTATCACAATGCCCAACATAGTTTCATTGGGTTTACAAAGTTTTTCCTTGATTATCTTTTTGAACAATTCTTGCGCCTCAGGAACCTTGTGTTCTCGAAAGAGTCCCTTAAGTAAAGTGCCAAAGGTGACCACATTAGGAACAAAACCACGTTTGAAGAAGCCAGACAATGTAGAAAAAGCTAAATCCACTCGGCCCACAACGCAGTAACAGTTAATCACAAGAGTGAGGGTGTAATCATCAATAGGAATGCCCTTGGCAGACATATCTCTAAAAAGGGAAATAACTGAAGAATAATGATTCTTCATCTTAACAATACAAGTCAGCAGTTGATTGAATTGAATAACAGAAGGCAGAGGCCTCATCCGGACCATCCGCTCGAACAAGCTCAAAGCATCATCAAGACTGTTGACATTATTAATATCATTCCTTAATTCAGGTTGAAATTTCAGAGCTTTTTCAGAAGAACTCTTAAATTTACTACTAATAGCAGAATAAAAAGCCAAATGGGGTTTATGGTTTGGGAATGCAGAGAGGAATGATGCAAGAGTAGTACAACCTGCAGGAGCAGGAGTACCTAATGAAGCCGCTGCTCCGTGAGACCGAGCAATGGAAACAATCGCCGCAGAAGAAGCTCTTCTCTGCATCGTCACCGTCTTCATCATCATCATCGCCATCGTCTTCCGGTCTGAAATGAACTAATTACTGGGATTTTTGAGGCAAATTCTGAAGCTCGGTTGTTGAAAATTATTTTCAGAGGTATTCGTCGAACTATAGGAAGTTCTTTTCTCCTTTTCAGATATTTTAATGTAATATGCCCTACTTTTGGCTCAGATAATTACTTCCTCCTGCCTCCTTTCAACTGAGCCGTTGAAAAAAAAAGTGTGAACCATTATTGATTTCAAAATGTAATTTTGTAAAAATAATTTCAAAATTATATTTAAATAATTATTCTATGAAGGTCAACGAAGAATTTCAAAATTTGAATTTTCCTATTCACATCCGACTCAATACCAAGTATATTTGATCAACAACGAAGTTGAACCTTTGATTAAATTACGTGCAAGTTCGAGTCAAATAGTTTGACTAAATTATACCCCTAAACTTGCCTAAATAAAATTTGCTACATGGCTCAAAAATTTTTACTTAATGGGGTAGTATTTAATTACTCTAAAAAATATATCTTTTCTGTGTTCAAATATAACTACTATCAAGTTTAACTTAATCAAGTGTTGCAATAATAACAACAATATCATCGTTCATAATTAATAATAATATCATCTCACCCGCTTTTTACAAAATAGCCTCTTTTTTTATTATTATATTAAAAAAGGGGTTTGGGCATTGCTAGGCTTTTGATTGAGCTTTAACATCCGACACTGTGACGACGTCGTGGTAATTGAGAAAGCAATAAAAGCGCAATTGCCTGAATTTTACCTCTGAAAATAAACAGATTAAATAATCTTCCAAAATACAAATTACACATTTAATCTAAAAAACAAATAGTAAATAATCATCTACTAAGGACTATTGACACTCAGATTGAATAATCAAACAGCAGCATAATATGTATAGCTTAAAATAATTGTAAATATTATAAAATAATTACTAATAAAACTTTTAAATAAACTAACATTTATAACAACAGGCAGCACTATTCTGCACTTCTTCAAAAATTATTTTTCTGATCCACCACTTTTTTCGTCACTCGAATGACAATGCTACTCGATTCACCATTTTTTTCAATCTATGCCATCATTGAAATGATAATGCCACTCGATTCATCACTTTTCTGATCAGAGGATAATGAGAGATAATCTTCCTGCGGAACAATGGCTACTTTGAGAAGATAGAGGAGAAGATGAGGAGGGATTTGGATTGGGGATTGTGCAAGAAAGAAAATAGAAATGTTAGTCTGAAGTTGGGGTTCTCACTTGAGTGAATAAAGGCCAGTTTTATAGAAAACTGTCGGCATGATACAATAATTGTAGAAAGTTATTTTGATACAATAATTGTACTGAATTTGCAATGCTACTTTGACTGAAATTTTTTTTTAAAATTGAAGCTGGCATTGTTGATCTCTTGTATCAACGGTCCAGAGCTGCTGCATTAAAAAAAACTATTTTTCTATCGCCGCAAATCAAATTTGCAGCAAATGAAAAAAAACCTATGAACTACGACCGTTGATCATGATTTGATCAACAATTTGAAAATTAATGTCGCAAATGATATTTGCGGTTTCACAAAAAATATATTTCAGATCTTCGCATATGTAATTTGCGGCAATTTGTGGACCATTGATCAAGTGGATCAATAGTTCACAAATTTCGCATGTACGGAATATTAAAAAAATTTTATAACGCCACAAATGTGTCGACCGGTCCACAAATTTCACTTGTGCTAAATTAAAAAAATTATTCATATTGCCGCAAATTTAATTTGTGCCGATATGGGGCCGTTGATAAGTGGATCAACGGTTCACAAATTTTTTCCATGTGCGGCATTAAAAAATTAAAAAATCCTTCACTACAAATTTTATGTGCGGGAATAGGATTTGAAAAATTGTTTTCTTCACCTTCAAATAATGACCTTTGACATATATTAATCAACGGTCCATCTACGGTTAAAATAAAAAATTCTATCGAAAATCTTAATTTAAAAAACTGTTAAGCAGTTGAAAATAAATGTAAAAATATTTCGGATTTTTTTTTTGCACCGATATTTCCACCTGCATCGACCCTTATATTATCCACATATCCTGTGCAGCACTACTTTTGTGATATTTTTTGGTTTTAACATTATTTCGAGAAATTCGCCCCGCTAACCAAGAACTCTCAATTAAAAAAAAAATCTTAACCAAAGTAGTGATGCAATACTAAAGATGCAGAAAAAAAGAAAATTTTCAGCTATTATTGCATCTTACAAAATGGCATCTTAAATCCATGCATGTGAAGACAGTATAGCAGAATAATAATTTCTGAGCTAAACTTAAAGCTAAATTTGGTATAGCACCAACTCAGAAAGCATAAATTAAGTTCATTCTACAAATATTTCTACATTGCCTTGTTGGAATCTACACCACAGGACACAAAAATAAATTTTTGACAAGAGCAAGAAGACTGATTCTCCGTAACAGCATCCAAAAACATGCTATCATCATCATCCTCTTTGTAACACAGGACCCGATTCCTGATCAGAGCATGCACTAGCAAAACCAAACAAATAAAATATGCACAGAAGAGCTACATGGCAGATCAACAAAAGAAAACACGGCTTATTTCTTCCACAGCCACTAGAAAAAATCCATCATTCTTAAGCACAAGATACTTAATGAAAACATAATCATAGAGCCAAAGAATCTGTTCCCAAGAGTGATCAAGAAATTAGTACTAATCATTTTAATTGGTTTCTTTCGAATAAAATTCATCATAACTATTTCCAAATATTTTAATCCCTAACAAATTGTTTCTATTCAGTCTGAGCTGACATCAAACCATCACATTCTGCAATACAAATTCCACCCCTCTCCTGCTCCAGTAAAAAAGAACAAGAATACGAAAAAAGAAATTGGTAGGTATGAAACTTGCTAGACTCGAACAAGTGTATTATTAACATTGTGATGAGCCAGTAAGACTTTTTCTTTCTTTCTTTTTTTTTTTTCTTTACCATTGTAGATGGTGACCTAATAGTATGCTTGAATCTTTTTGTTAATGTTGCCATGTGAGAGAGATGAAAGATGTAGCATTGGTAACGTGAACAGATTGTGGTTTACTTAGCTGAAATATGATTTCCTTTTGCCAAATTCTGTTTTCCCATTATTGGTTCCACTGTCGGTCCGGCCCAGTGCCCGCCCAAAATGGTGATCAAATTGCTCCCTTCTCAGATGGTCAACTCTGAAAGACTATTCAGGATGATTGAGCTGTAACCTGTGTTTTAAAATTCGGACCGGACCGCGCAGTCAAACCGGGAACCGGTCCGGTCCGAATCATGCTTAAAAATCGAGTAAGTAAAAATTCGGTCAAAAATCGGGTTTGACCGGAAAAAACCGGATTTTTCCGGTTCAAATAGCATTTAAAAAAAAAACTCAAACTTTTTCAATATTATGTTTTGATCCCTAGATTGTTAAAAATTATTTATATACCTCAAATATTTCATACTTTATCAATATTTTCTTAAAGTTTGGTATTATTTTTCAATTAAGTCCATAATTTTAATTCTAAACTTGTTAATACTCATTAAATAATATAAATTGTTACTTGATTGTTCTAATTTCTTTGTATTTTCTTGTTAAATATATTTAAAACATCAAATATATATGAATATACATTTATTAATATTTACATGTTATTAGGTATTTTACATATAATATTTTAATTTTTAAATAATTTTTAATTATGACGTCATGCGATTCAACGCCTATCGAATCCGGTTGAACCCATTGACCCCTGACCCTTGAGGTTGACCGAGTCGATACTCGGTCCGGTTCTGAAAACATAGACCGTAACTCAATGAGTCCTTATTGATACTTGGTGATATAGTGGTCCAAAAAGATTGCTGGATTAGATATTCAAACTTAATTTGTAACGGAATAAATGATTTCATATGGGTTAATTGATAAGTAATATAATAGGTTTAATTAATTTTTGGATTAATGTTTTCTACATCTTGAGTGTACGTAAAGGTTCATTTATATTAGCAGATGTGGATACATGACACATGTGCAAAAATAAATTTTTAAATTTTAATAAAAACTAGTTTCATACATTAAAACCGGCTAGTGATTAAAAAAGAAAACCTTTACCGCTTTAATATAAGAAAGATTAATTCTTAATTAAATTACATTTGTGGTTTTTTGGAGTTCAAACTCTTAAAACATCCAATTTTGTTTCTAAACATTTCCATTAGCTTCAAATTCACATTAATGCACAGATCCACTTAATTCATATGTAATGCATCATGATTTCTACTTCACAGCCTTCACAGCATGAATTTGATTTTCATTTATGAGATTGGTTTATGTGCTAATGTTACACAAATTACTCAATTCACTTGTTTCTTTCAATCTTGCATGATTTGAAAGCCTGAATTTTTTTTTTACATATTCACCCTTCTAATTTTTTTGTTTATTTGAATATTGAGATCAAGTTTGCATCTGTTCGCCACTTTTGAAGAAGTGGATCTCGTTTGAAGTTGATTTTTTGAAACAAAGAAAAAGAAATGATGAGGCAAAACACATTCAAAGGAACAATTAGTATAACAGAGTTTATCCTTTTTGCAATAATCAAGGCAATCCATTTGCTTCACAAACTAATATGATAAGTCCAAAAAAAAAAAAACCATCGTTACTCTTCTATTCCAGCTAATAGAAAATGCTTTTTAGGATTAAATTATACAATAGTAAGCTTGATTTGAGAACATAATGAAGAAAAATGTCTCCAAGGCATAATAGGTACTCAGTTAAAAATGGGTATATACAGCAACAATGTTTGTTTTGGTAAAACTAACAGAAATCAAAATTGTATATCTAACACAAATCTAATAGAGTACACTACTCACAAACGCATCTTGGCTAGAGATAATACATCCATAAAACCCCTCCCACCAAAACTGGAAGGGAAAGACTAATGCAGTCATCAAAATGTTGAGAGTAAAGAGAAAAAGAAAGGAAAGACTCGTAAACCTGATGTCATTGTGTATACAGGTTACAGAGCAATACACGTAGATGTTGGATTTGGGGCAGGGACGGTCATCAGTATGACCGTCCCTGCACGGTTAAAAATTTGTGCGGCTGAAAATTGGCCCTCAAAATTTTGTGCGGCTGAAATAACACCATGTAACTCGAAATCCGCGCCAAGTGTGGGGCCCACCACTATCTGTTGTGAAAATACATCCTGTGAAAAAAAAGTTACGCGCAGTTGAACCAATGTTACGCGCAGTTGAAATGAGCTAAAATTGGCAGGTGCAACCGTCCCTGCCCCGAGTCCGTAGATGTTGGAGATGGCAGAAGGTTGGAAAGTTCTTCACTGAGATGACAGCTTTCAATACTGTTCCAGAAGTCTTCAGTTTCAACGCATTAGCGGACGCTCTATGCAAGGGAGAAGAGATTGCAAATGCTCAAGGTACAGTCAGGATCTTGATCAAGCAAGCTCAGAATGATGATATGGTCTCAAACTATATGTTGCTTAAGGGCTCCAGTTATATTCAGGATCATGACTAAGCATGATTAAGGGCTATTTCACAAACAAGAGAAACAGTGATGCCACGTACCCCTTCCGGAAGTAAAAGTTGATCTCAAAGGAGTGGCATGTAATATAGCAAAACAAAGTTAATTTCAACCAACATATATAGTTTGCAGCAATATTGACCTGATAACATCGTTCAAATCTCTCTGAAATTCATAACTGGCGAATCAACACATGTTGCATAGTACCAATTCAGAAATACGAGTACTACAGGAAACTTGAATGGGCACCATAAGGAGTCTATATAGGTAAAATATCTGCCACAGGCATAGATTGGTGCACTTGAGAAGGAACCTAAATCTATAAATAACTTTGTGGAATCTTTAACTCAGAACATTGTTAGTCTGAACAGTGGTAGCTAAGAGTCTGCATGTAAGCCCTTTCAGCCTACTTGTATCCTAAAAAGAAATTTCCTGATTTTACACGGGACATCCAATTTATATCCCAAAGAATAGAAACTACTGAATATCTTTGCAATACATAGCGAACATCAGAAGTTTTGCATGCATTTAAAGTTAGGCATACATGATCTCTTTTTCTGTGGTTATATATGGAGGAGGTAATAAACTTTTTGAATTGGCAAAAGCTTCTGTGCAACCAGATGGTGCCACACCAACAGGTGAATCCAGAACAAAGTCAGGAATTGCCACCAATGTCTCCTCCAAAAGGGATTTTATAGTCTGTAAAATTCAAATAATCATGTCAACATGTGTAGGAAGCACAAAACTGCTAAATCATTTTCTGCAACAAACTAATCACAATCATATTAAAGTGCAGAAACAATCACAGAAAGACAGGAACAGCTGACTTCAAGTCCATGGATATGACGAGCAGGCTTTTGCACTCAGTAGCACTTTTAAGTTGAATGGAAATTCATAGATTTCAATATCTTTTTCCTAGCTAATAACAAGGAACAAATCGACCATCAATATGGACACTATTAATGGATTTTAAATCACCAAATTTTGGCACTATGTTGAGGTTCAAGAAATGGTTACTGCATGCCATATATCTGCTGCATTAATGTTTCCAGGAGCTAGACAGTTTTGCATTTTTCTGGGAAATAGGCAGTTAGATAATGGTTAGTTCATGGTGCTTTGTTCTATTGCAAAATCTCTCTCTCTCTCTCTCCCTCCCTCTCTCTCCCCCTCCCTCTATCCTTCTTTTTTTCTCAAATTGTATACTTAGTAAACAGGCAATTGATCAAGCAAGCACATTTAAACTCTTTCATACTCCTACTTCAAAAACAAATATTAGGCTAGTAAAAAGATAGTCAACAATATTTGCAGATACCTTTGAGAGAACATGAAACAAAAATAAATTTACCTTACCCAAAACAAGATTTATTTATATCATGGGATTTTCTTACATCGTGGTGGTCAAACCCTACCTCTAAACCACCGCCCCTTGCCCAATAGGGCAGGCAAGAATTTCCAAAGGCAGAAAAGAATTTTCAAACCACAAATTGCTGAAATAGTTAGGAGTACATGCAGCTAGTGATGCTTCTAAGATCACATTGCATGAATGGAGAAGCTCTATGAGAAATGTCTCAAACTGTTTTGCACTTTGATCAAATATCAACACTCTCATATTACTCGTACTTTCTTCAATACTGGTGCATATGATAGTAAATAAATTCAATAGCCAAAATTCCAGTTCTGATGGTTTAGAGGTTGTGAGGATGTTGCCAATTTAGTTTCCACTTCCCTCTCAGTTTTCTCCCAAGGTAAAGAGTAGTTACCTTCATCCAAGCAAGACCTCAATTAAAAGCCTTCCATTCACACAATCTCAAAACCTAAACCAAGCGTAGAGCCAGGAAAACGTATGTCTTAGAAGGCATGTACTATGAAAACCTCCAGACAGGATATCCTTCTTATGTGGCTAATCATAAAGGAAGAGGAAAAGAGCTACTGCACCAAAGAGTTCTCATCCCAAAGTAGTTAAACAATGACGCATGTTATCACAATTTTTATGTCTTAGAGGTACAGCAATAAGATTTTGTTGTTGCTAAGTCTTCCAACAATAACCAGAGTCTTCGGACAGTCAAAATAAATGCACATAAATATGCTAACTTAACATTTGGACTAATTTACCATCCAATTCCACTGCAGACCACCGCAATTCAGGTTTCACATGGATTAGAATATGATATAGTATTTTCAGGATCTGCTATTCCTTAAAGTGACTGTGGAGCAGTCAAAAATTCAGCCAAGAAGACAACAATCGCTGTTTCTATCATTTTTGTCTATTATTTTTCCTACTCTTTTTTTTAAAAGAACTTGAAATTCAACTCCCATGGTGAAGCAACCAAACAAAACAATGGAGCAAAGCATTTAGAAATGAATGTTACAGATAGTGTTTTCAACCTTCAAAACCAATTTATACTACATTGGTTTTGAGATTAATCTCTCATCCTTATTTTATTTCATTTATAATATCTTTATTCTTTTAGGCTATGAACTGCAGCATAAGCCTGTAGGAACAAACATTTTGAGAACATCAGCAGTTTCAGCATTGATAAACATCAGGTTCTAATTGATGTTCTAAGGCAGTCAACCCAATTCGACATTCAAAAACTAGCACAAGGTTGCCATTACTAAAACTGCCTTCAACAACAAGGGGATAACATAAAATCAATTCTCATCAGCCTATTGGTTAATACTCATGTAGAAGAAACTGTGTGAAAACAGAAAACTGTACAGTGACCAGACATAGTTTTTTCTTGCTAACAATAGTACTTTTATAAAGTTATTTAAGTATACTCAAAAAGAAAACAGTAAAGGTACAAGGAGGAAAGATCACCATGCCTTTTTTGCTATTTCTTTTCTTTAGGAGAAATGAAAAAGGTAGCCACTAAAGATGATTGAAAGCACTGCAAGAGCTTTTTAGGCAGAAAAGTATTGAACAAGCATATGTAATCTTTAAAATCATCTTCTTTCATTGCAACAATTAAATCTTATCAACTAGCTCTTATATTCTGCAAGTTAGGCTATAAAAAACAACAAAATAAATATGGATATCTGCCAAGGCCCAAGTTGCTTAAACATATGCACTTAAATGGGCAACTGGATAACCTGTAGAGGGCCTGAAGACCGTAGCCCCATATGAGGCTTTCGAAGGGAATTATGGCTGGCTAGGATACCTTTGTTGTTATAATACTTTTCTAGGTTAGTAATGGTGCTAGAGTGAAATTTTGGAAGGAGAAATGTTGTGGTCAAAACCCACTTACAACAGATTTTCCAGGATTTTTCATGTGCTGTGCTGCCAATGGAAAAGACTGAATTTCTCAGATAGAGCTCAAACCAAAACCATTGAATACACAGGAACATAAAATATAAGAAACCATAACTACCCAAAATATAATTAGCGACTGTAGACTGGAAGGTTAATTCAGTTCAGTCCCACCCAGTAAAGCTCTATGAATATTGTTAATCAGTACCACACACTTATAACTGGATGTTAAAACAAGGCAAGAGGAGCAACTTCATTGTCAAAGTCCTAGTATCAAAGCTTAGTAATAAAAGGAGAACAAAGTTTCCTTGAAAGGCAACACAGGCCCCTACGAAATGGTTTTCTTCACTCGAGGCCCCATTGCTAATGCCATCCTAACTATGAAAAAAAGGAAGAGAAGAGTTTAGCAGCTGGAGTTTCCATCTAACGAGGAAGAAATTGTTACGTAGATCATACTTGGGAGGAGGTAGCAAGAGTGTCAAAATGTGCAGATAAAAATGATTGGCACTACATGGTGATGCATGCAAGGGTAAGGTAGTATAAGCTTGTGATAGAGAAGGAAGAGGCGGACATGAAAGCTTGCATTTTTAGCAATATGTGAACCGTGGGCTTTACACGACAACAGGAACAAGAGGTCAAAATAAAAATGAATACAATAAATGCTATATTGGTTTACATGTCTTTCTGGAGCAATAAGACCAGCTCAACCTGTTTAGGTTTTTAAATTGGACTTCAGAGGCGAGCTATAACTACTCCTGCATACCTCCTGCAATAATTTTTGTGTTTTATCAAATTGCAATAGAACTGTAACACTATCTCATTCATACTAAGGTTAGTTCGGAAAGACAGTATAGGGGGTGCTAGCATCCCTCACTGCACAATAAACACAATTATTATCCTAGAACAAATTCTCAAAAAAAAAAAAAAACTTTATGACCTCATCATATTTCTACTGTACACTGCCCAAAAATGTTGGTGTTTCATATTTACTTCTCTGAATTATAAAGTGGAACAAGCCAGGATCAGTAAAAAAAAATATTCTTATGCTGGCAAAGAGGAATATGAAAAAGACAAACAGGAAAGGAAAGGTTGCACCCTTAGCAGGATATGGGATCTTTGGAATGACAGAAACAGGAAACCTCCAAGAAACAGAAAATTCCAAATAGAAGCTAAAGGGAACATTTTGATTTCTATATTTTTTTCAGGAGTAAATAGTCCATTTTGACAACTCGATTGACTTTCTCTCTGCACTTAGCACTTCAGTATGCCGTGTGTATGCCAACTGCTTGGTTATCCTACCTATAATTCAACTCCTTATTCCAGTTTTATGTTGGGAAAGAAAATATTCTTACCTGAATACTCCTTGCACGAAAAGTATTAACTAGGAAAAAAAAATCTCTATTGCACCTAACGGTCCATATTCACAGCTTAAGATAACGTGGATATGATGGTCCTATTGTAGCCAAGATTTATTAAGACAAAAATAAAACAAACACTTAAAAATAATGTCATTGACATATTTCTGTTTGATAGTAACATACCGTGCAATGTTGAAAAGCAGAGTCAACGTTGCGTTTCCATAAGGCATTTCCAGGCTCAGAATGAAAAAGACCAAGCAAAGGCTGCAGTAAGACAAAAGAATTGCATAAGTTTCGGTTAGCAGTTTTAAGACAGCAACAGCTGGTATTTTACTTTCAACTTCCACCATTAATCAGGCAACACAGAACAGATAGTTGAATTCCCCAAGACCATGTGGTGGGATAGGAAGCATCACCCAAGTTGTGGTACCAATATACATATAGGCTTGTTCTCAACAGCTTATAAAATACTATAACCACATTATCAACATTGCAAAGTAAATTGATTTCAAAAATCTTCGGAAAAAATTTAAACATGTATCCTATTCATTTTTTAAAAAGCTAAAAGCTGCTTTTGAGAGCAACCCAAAGACTGCTGCTCAAAATTTGTGGTACCAATATCATTTTAGGCTTGCTCGAAACATCTTGTAACTATAATCAGTAATTTGAACTTGGGAAGTTGATTTCAAAAATCTTTGGAAAAAATTTAAAATGTGCATCTTTTTCATGTTTTTGAAAGCAATCCCAAGACTGCTTCTCAAAATCAGCTTTTCTCAAAATTTGTTGTACCAATTCCATTTTAGGCTTGTCTGGAACAGCTTATAAAAAACTATAATCGGGTTATTTGAAATTGGAAAGTAAGTTGATTCAAAAAATCTTTTAGAAGAAATGTAAAACATGTATGTTTTATTAAGCCAAAAGCTGTTTTTACTAGCAACCCAAGACTGCTTCTCAAATTCAGCCTCTCATTTCAAAATAGCGGCTGGAGAACAAGCCCATGATTGACTCATAAAACCAAAAACACATGGAAAGAGTTTCTTCTACATATGTACAAGAAAATCTCATTTATGCAGACCCTCGTGCATTTTAAGTGTCTTCCACACAATTGAAATGCTTTGACAGCTTGTGGCATAGAGCACTAAGCTAAATTGACTTTTATTTAGGTAAGAGGAGAACAAGATAGAAATAGATAATATATCTCTAACCAAATTAGCAACTACAATTAAATCAGGAGATCCCAACAAGTACAACATATGCAAAGGGATGGAAAGCATGTGAAACCCATTTGAGCCAATCATAACAGAACATGACATATCACACACACAGACTTCCAAAGTCTCAAAATTGCAAGACAAAGAGAACAAGCCCATTTGACTTTTTTTGCCAGCTATAATGCAATACCAATGATAACACCCATAACCAGCCATTTGAAGCTCATCTACCAAGAAAACTGCAAAACTGGTCACAATAAATTCTCAAAATCTAATTTTAGTCCACAAATTTAAAATGAAGCAAATCCTACCTATACTTTTAACAGATGCACCTTACAGTCTGTAGGCTCACAGCCTTTCACTTCTTAGCTGGAAAAAAATCCAGCTAATATGCATGACATACGAAATTAATCAATATGATGACCTAACTTTCAGATTTTTGTCCCTTTAACTGTGCAGGATAGAAGAACATGCTTTGCACACATCACATCTATTGCAGGGAAATATGCATTAGTCCCTGATTTTGCCCCTAAACAGGCAGGTAATCAATTATGCTATTTACAGCCAGAAAAGCGATTGACACCAGAGCAGGAATCCTCATTATACAATTTCTAAACAATAAAGACCCCAATTGGTTCACATTAACCATTATGGACCATAACGACATTCTATCACTCTATCAGAGACAACTTGAACAATTGCCTTCAAGGAGTTGTTAACATATTATGCATGTAGTAAAAAACTAAAAACCTGTTGCATGTCATTGGCCAAGAGCATAAGACTAAATTCTAATGTTTCAAATCCAAAGCATGTGGCAACTTGGACATCTAGTCTTTGCAGCAGCTGTTCTATAGAATCACGGCAGAGCTACCAACTCAAAATCTGTTCTTAAATGATGGGGAAACTGATACATTGTGGAAATTGAATGAAGTGCATAAAGAGATACTTTTGATTAAGCGGTTTCTGTGATATATGAACAAAACAACCAGATATGGCAAAAGTCCATTTGGGGACAGTTAGTTTGGGCCCCACTAGCTGGAGGCTGCGATTTGTGCTATGAGTGTGAAGTGCAAGCAAGAAATGACCATATGCAACATCCTATCCCCATTAGAAGAGGAATGTGATGATAAGCAAAAGCAGAGAAAGTTCAGAGAACAATAAAATGTCAACAATTTTGCACGTATTATAACCTGTCTCGTAAAAGAAAACGGAACGCAAGAACCCCGATGTTGAAAACATTAATTGGATGAAACATGAGCAGACTTCATACCTTAACAACATCCCGAACACTTGGTTTTTGCCCATATTTGCCAAGGACTGAATCACCATATATCTGGTACTGCTCAAGGACCTAGAACAAAAATATATGGACAACTTAGGAACACAGTCAATGGCAAAATATGATGCATAATCCAACTATAGAACCTGACGCCTGGTTAGATCACTTCGAGGTGCACCATATACTAAACTGTCTACATGTCCCAATGTTTGCCATGGACTGCAAAAATTAAACTTTTTATTTAGTCAACCAGGCAACAGAGAGAGAGAGAGAGAGATTTAAACTTGGTTTTTAGCCAACCAGGCAAGAGACAGAGAATGGCTCAAAAAGAGGTAAGATCATTTCCAAAAGTTGAGAATCATGATAAAATATATAATGCAGATAGCCCTATGTGATTTGTCACTGCTATTGACAGGTGAAAATTAGAAAATCTACTAATTGGCCACACCACAATATCAAGTGCAAATAAATGAAAGATGTCAAAAAAAATTCTCATTAGATAATACTTCATCTACTGTTTTTCTTTAATTCATGGTCCAGAATTATGCAGTGAAAAGTGACCAACAATTGTCATTAAAAATTCGAGATCTGGCATGGGCCATTTGATACCTAAACAAAAGGTAACCATTTCTTGATATCCACCCCCTTTTTACAAGCAAAGTGGAAAACAAAAGTATAGACACAAACCACATGCATATTAAATGTAGTACCCAGATCTATAAGAGTCTCTCAATATCTTCATCGAGAATTCTAATGACACATGCAACACAAGTCACATAAGTAAAAGATTATACTTAAAATGCAAAACTGAAGCTTTGAATGACTAGATTGAAGAAACAAAGTCCACAAGAGTTCATCAAGTGCTATCATCAACCAAAAACAACGCATCCATATTTCATAGATAGGAAGCATATGGGAAACGGCTTCTTCATACTTGCTATAGGCTGCACGTCCAAGCATAACACCATGAGCACCTTCTGTTCTTGCTGCATTTACCTAGGCAAAATTTCAATAGAAGTATATCGTCACCATTCGTAATGAAAAGGCTGTTAAGTTCTAGTCGATTGTTGTCAATGTTATTCGTTTCATTGCTATCATATTTTACCAAATCACCTGATGTGGCCTCAATGAAATTTCCATGAACCATGACTTCATAATCTATCATTTGCAAAGACAGAATAAACACAAAATACTAGTAACTCCAGATTCTTTAAGAGTATCAAACATTTGCTAAACAATAAAAACGAGCTAAAGGCACCTTTTTTGTGTATGGCAACGGTGACATTTATCCATATACTAATATCTGGGATCGATAACTTCAACACCCGAACTATGCTAGCTCAGTAGCTAATTTAGTGTATTTGAGCATATACACCTTTATGGAAATTTTATGTTGGTAGAATAAGAGTTTTAAGCTTAATTGTAGTGATTGGGAATAGCAAGATTGGTTGGATAGAGATATTATTAGATGACTGTCAGGTCACTCTGTGTGTGTGCAGAAACACACACACAGAAATAGATAAGAGTGCAGAGAAGAAGAAATCTGATCAAAGATAGAACAGAACATAGGCTTCAAACCTAAACAAGCGGGAGTTCATTTCCGAAGAATATTCTTCGTTTCATAAGCTGCCTAAAAGTGCTTGGATGGCACAGTTTTTTGGGTCAAATAGATTTGGAGACTAGAATATTTAATCTCACTATAAAAGTTGGAGACCAAGATATGACAGCACATGGTTGTCATTACCTCACTTTACAGTTAGCCTAGGCTACAAAAGCCTCAAGATGCAATTCCAAATGCAGAAACTATGAGCCAAACGTTTTGAACAAAGTCACTACCTTAACCCAGGCATAAAGCCAGCTTAAAACAAACAAAACAGACTTGCAAATGATATTCTAGATCAGCTCCATGTTATCATCTTGCCAAATCACAGTATTAATTTGGGACTCAACTTCCCCTTCTTTTCTAATATTCATCTGATCTTATAATATCCACATTTGGTCATGCATTTTCTGTAACCAAAAAGTTCCCCAATATTAATGTGGGTGTCCTAGGAGGTAGATATGGATAATAGCGACAAAACTTGCTAAACTTTCTAAGACAGTTAAATGGACTTGAAAGTGGGCGAAGTTACATTTCCATAATGATTTGAACAAGGCTTCCTAAAAAATGGATTCACTGTATCGAGTCTGCTAATTTTATCCGAAGTAATGTAAATACAAAAGTTGAGAGCAGACAAGGAATTGAGCTGGCTAAATACTTTGGTAATTATTTTTTGTATACAATCTGTAGTGGAAGTCGTATCACCCATCTCTAACCCTGCCAGTGTAATTGGCACCTGGTGAACACGTGTCACAATCTGACTATCTTCACTAGCTTTTAAGCAAGAATAAGTTGTGAGTATGTCCAACTCTCTCAGAACATACATTAATCTATCTGCCCAAACTATAATGATTATTTAAAATAATAAAAAAAAAAACCCTCCAGTACCAAATTTTTATTCTAACAGTTGGAAAATTTGAATCCTGTCTTCCTTGCATCAGTTTAGTGTAGAATGCCAATTGAGATCCATTCCAAACAGAGATGCCCTGGAAACAATCTCTCAAGGATTTGGACCATCGCTTATGCCCAGATGAAGAGGAGTACTGTGGTTTTGATATAAACAGTTGCTCTTTGCTGTTTATTGGCAACCATACCCAGTATGGGGGACCCGCCAATCTAAGAAAAAGCTTTGTGAACAACAGATCCACCAATCTTCAAAAAGAAAAGTAAAACGAAGACTAATTTTATTTAAAAATGCTATTTCCATGGAATGCATCATCTACTTTAGATAATGGTACAGACAAATCAAATGGGCAAATCTAATCCAAAACCTCCAGAGTCATAAGTCAGCCTTCCTGCTCATTTTAACCATTTCCCCATGACCATTTCAAGTATTCCAGTATTTCCTAACCTCCCTATTAAAGATACCAAAAATCCTATCAAATCTACCTCCCACATCACATGTAACTCTTGGTCAACCGTGCTACTTTTGACCTTTCATTTTGACATGCCTTGCCTCTGGCCATGCAGACTTCTATACTAAACTCATTAGATTTCAAGTATCTCCAGCAAGTTTTTTCTACTTTTGAATTGATAGAGCAATTCCAGCTAAACCATAAACCATATATCTTACAATAATGCCAAGCTAGTAGGGACAGGGTCGAGTCCCCCTTTCCCTCCAGTAGCCCTCGTATGAGCAAAAACGTTTTCAGGAAACATAAAAAAAAAAGGACGTTAACGGTCATGTCAGTTTGTAGTGATGCTTAAAGCAGAGTCCTCTTCCTATTCTGAGCAACATCCAAGCACTTTTCCTTGAGCTCACCATTAGAGCCATCCAAAGTCCCTAAAAACCAGTTCTGAATATCCATCAGTCCCCAAATCGTTCATTTGAGTATTTTTGTTAACACTGCTCATTTCCTGTGTCCTTAGTCATCTAGTACGCATACACAATCAATTCATACCCATGATTCCTCCCTTAGCATTACATTTTTTAATACTGTCTTTGTGTGACAAGAAGGTAGATGGAGAGGATATTTTGAAAAGTTTCCATCTTGGAAACTTTCCAAATGACTGCAAACCAGAGCATAATCAATTGAATTTGCAAAAACACAACCCAAACAAATTTTAATCTTATCATCACCAATGCATACAATTAGATAATACTTCAAACTTACTTCATCTATGGTTTGTATACCTCCATTTATTGTAAACTGTAGATCGGGAAAATCACGCAACAAAGCATAATAGTATTCGTATCTGCAACACCAGCAAGTGTAAAAAGAAAGGACATTGACAGTTAACTACAATGATCAAAGGGTACCATAAAAGCTGATTTTAATTGCTTAGTAATAGTAGAACATGTCTTCAACAGAAAGTTAAGCTAGAGAAACAAATTAATACTCGTTAAATACATACTTCAGGGGAGGAATTTTCCTATTTTCAGCTGGGGTGAGTCCATTAAGTAATGCTTTTCGGGAGTGTATAATGAAATGCCTAGTAGGTGATTGCGATGAAACCTTGTATATGAAATCACCTTCAAAAATGAGAAAAGTGAAATAGATCAGGAGAAATCCACGCACATTCCTACCAAGATTTTGCAAACACACAAAACAAAACAGAGCATTTAGCAAACACTCTTTGGTAAGCACACACATGCACACACATACCAAGCTTTTCCCAAACCTAGCCCCACGCACTAGCTGGCCTTCCAGACCAAACACAACGAGACTCCAAACCTGAGACCTGATGGATTGCTTTTTTATACTTTCAGATTTTGGGTAATGCTGTTGCACACTTCCCTTTCATAAGTTTTTTAGATGAAATTCCTACATGAAAGGGCTTGATTCGAAACTTCTTGTTTTAATGCAAACTTTGTAAAATTTTACAAAAGTAACAGCACTAATTGGAAAAAATGAAAGATTAACAGGGAAAAAGTCAAACAGGTCTCTATTTGGGAAGTTATAGTTACTTGTAAGCTCCATCATGCATTATATTACATAAATGAGTGACAAAAAAAAAGGTTTCAGCATAATGGAAGCCATTTCATAGTTGTGACTTTCAATCAAATGAAACAGAAAATTTTAATGACCACTCCTCCTCTGACCCCTAGATTGTAGAAGGGTCAATTTGCTCAAGTCAACACCAATCTACTCTTATGTTGATTGAAAGTTATGTCTTCTCTCTCGAAGTTTATGATTTATTGCATTAATGATACCAAAAGTAACAATTATAAACCCAAAGACAATAGAAATTGCAAGGGAATCATGCAAAACAGTTCCATGCGACATAGACACAATACACTAAAATTTATCCTTCCGACACAGATCAAGTATATGAAACCTTCAAGCAAGAGTGAGCATGCAAGTCTATGGGAACTAGCAATGCAAGAAAAGCAGAAAAAAGTTTGTATTTATGAAACTAGACTTAAAAAGCAAATGTTGAAAAATTTTGGAAGGTCTTCCTCCTCAAACCTCCTTAATTTAAAAAACCAAAGCCTTATCTGATCCAGTTGAGTACCACTATTATAATAAGGCGTTAGCTTGGAGAGGCTTTAAATGGTATTAAGCTTAAACCATACCAAAGATTGATGAACACTATGTTACTTGAGAAAGTGAGAGTATCTTAGAAATCCATTTACATCCCGTAATCAGATAGAATATGTATTCGGTGATGGTTTACAGTGGCAATGAAGAGAGCAACACTGGATAAAGAGTATAAAATCATCCTTACTGGTTCTTAAACAATACAATCCATCCCAAAAAAAAAAAACAAAAACTAAGAAAATTATATAGAAACAGAAATGATTAAACAACAATTAACAGTATAGTGAGGAGATTGAGTGATCCAAACTTTGGTCCAACGATTTTAAGAAAGCCAACATTTCTTATAACAAAAGATGTGTCCTCATTTCTAAGAAGTGAGACTTTTTATAATTAATTTCAGCATGTGAACTGCAAAAATCTTTTGCTTAAGTCAACTTACAGAGCTCATAATATGAGTCATGGTCATCAACACCGATTCGGCATTTGACACTCACAGGTACATCAGTGTTTGCAGCTATAACTGACATGGCCTCAGCAACAAACTTCCCTTGTAAAAACAAATTTGTCTCTTCAGACCATATTCACATGAACAAAACTAACTTATATTTAATCAACCAGTAAAAGACCTTTGGATCCAGCATAAGACGCACGCCAAAACAGCCATGTCCAGCTACCCTTGGGCTAGGACAACCACAACTGTTGAATAGAAGTGGTTTAGTTCAAATTCAAAAGGCAGCAAAAATCAAGAGCTTCTGCATACAAGACAAAAAAAACAAACTTGAAATTGATTTCATCGTAGCCATAGGGATCTGCAAGTTGAGTTGCTTTTGCGAGGTTATCCAAATTACTTCCCCCAATCTGAAGTACTATTGGATGTTGCTCTGGACCATATGCCAAGAATCGGTTCTGAAAATCCCAGAAAAATAGTCAGTATGAGATGTCTCTGGAAATTCCTTACTAGACTCGCCAAATGCTAATTTGGCACAATAGACCTCTTTTTCCACTTAAACTGCATTTACAGATTGAAACTGAAGTGCTGGTTCTGGAAAAAAAATATTATACAGTATTTTATATGCATAGACAGTTGATCACAAAAGATACAAAAGAACATTATATCTGGCACGAGGTACAAAAGAAATGAAGATTCTGAGATAATTTAATCATAAATCTGCCTATGCCTCAGGAACCAAAAAATTTCTAAGATAATCACCAGCATAACAGTAGCAAACATGAATATTACACACAATCATATCTCCCCAGTTTCAATGATCAGAATGCTTGACGGTAAGATTTTTTTCTTTTTTCTACATCTCCATGTGATGACATTCTGGTTACCTTTTTTTCCACCCATTGCTCATCAAGAAGAAAATCTCCTGAAGACTTACCAAATCTCCTTTCTGAAAGACAATTGTCTCTGCAGCAATCATTTCTGTGTATAACCATGCATGTTTTGAGATGAGCCGTGCTAAAGTCCTAAAGTGATTATCTGTCCAATCCATCATTGGTGCCACACTGAAAATTCAACCTCTATTAGCAAGGCGAAGAAATTTCTTGACAAGAAGACACTAAACAAAAGACAAGTCATGCTGAGGAAAATAACAAAGTCATGCTACAGTCAAATAAACTGATCAGAATATCAAGGAGTCACCTGAACCAAGAAGGGTGATAACGCAGAGAAACCATTATAGTTTCAGTATGTAAGTGGCTCCTCTTACAGTAATGGTACACCCTTGACTTTGTTGAACTTCCATAAAACAGACTTGATGACAATCTGCCATGGTTTTTCAGGACACAACAAAAAGGAGTAAGAGAAGAAATTAGTGTATGTCCAGAATACTTCACCATTCCTTTGGACCAAAGCCAGCCCTTTGATGCACCTATGCCACGAATAAAAGTGACATCACCAAAGAGGCACATGAATTTTGATCATATAGATGAATTAATAACAAAACCTTCCACATGTTTAGATTATCTACAAGGTGACATTAAAAAAAAAAAAAAGACCATGGATCATTTGTCAACACACCCTACAGTGCTCCTCCTGAATCATGGATAACTAAAGAGAAACAAACAAGAAAAGAGTGTTTAAGATGATTAATTGTAGAAAAATTTGCCTCATCTGATAACATTCCCAAGTATAGGAACCATAAACTTCAAAGTAATCTTACATCATTAATCCACTTAAAATCTTAAAGCACCAAGAAGTTTAATAAATTTATCTTTATGGAAGTTTCTCGCTTGCTTGCCCTTTCTTTTATAACGCCCTTGAGATTTCCAAACTAATCTGTTAACCAACATTACTTGGACTCTGATCACAGAAAGTTAAATCTGATACCTAAAGTGCCTAATGTAGGAAGCGAACAAGTCCAACTTTCTAGTGGTATGACAGAAAGGACGAAGATTAAACTTGAATAGTCAACACTGAAGCAATAATTTCCAAGCTATTAAAGAAAACCCCAATTATTAGCAGGTAACTAGATTTAACCTCTCCACGTTCATTCAACTGAATGTACATTATGCACTTAGGAAGAAAAAACAGTTGCACATACTTTATCTCAACCCATAGGAGTGGAATGTGATAATCGTAGTGTTTAGTGTGGCTTCATCTGAACTTGATTCTTAATTTTCATCGCATTGGCAGATGGGGCAGGGAAGAGGGTCAAAGTTATGTGGACTATGTGGTAACTGAATCTTGTACAAGCTCTTCTTTACAAAATCTGAAGACAGAGCAACCCTATCCCCTCTCCCTCCCCCACAACTACCGAAACAGAAAACCCAAAATACAAAAAGAATCTTCATGACTTCAAAACTTCTTACTATTTCATTGGTTCACAATACATGTTCTTGCATTCACTACTGTGATAAGCAGCTTATGGATTTAATATTCAATAACCAGAGTTTTTTTCACCTCCCTCCAAGCAACCTAAAGGGTAGGTAGCCGCACCAAAAATGTTGTGTAAATATAATCCAACTTCACATGAGCATTTCGTCGAACATCTGGCACGCAACAAATGGCTAAAGGAATTCGCATCCCAGACTTGAAGAACTAAATCAACCAGCTGAAGGGAGAGCAAAGGAGCAGTAAAGGGATGGTGGATTTACGTTGATAAGGGGAGAGCTTGACGTTGTCGTTTTTGCTGCCTGATTCTTTCTTCACAGCTGATGAAAACCACACCTGCAGAAAACGAAAACTTGTGGCTTTGCTCTGTTTTTTCAACTCAACGGACAAGGAGGAGGCACGAGTCTTCACTATTGGCCTCTCGCTCAAGACAAGGCATCTTCTTGTCTGTTATAAATTCTGTACGTTAGAGTGACACCCTAGGTTTTGCCAGATTATTTGGGAAATATATAAACTCTTAATACATTTTCTTTAAAAAAAAACTCTTAATATTTGAATTTTTCAATTGTGTAAAAGTGCCAAAGTACTTCGAGTAATATTCCAATTATGTAAAAGCATGAAAATTATTTGAAATATTTGGATAGGAGGTTATTTGAAATATTTATTTGAGATAATTACTGTAGCACTTTTTGTGATGTGATGTACGTGAGATAAAAAGGTAGTTAGAAATTGTATTTATGATGTAAGTAGAAAAAAATTTGAAATTTTGTTTGCAAATCTTCCTATCCAAACAAACTCATTGTATACATGCCTGTTTCGTTTGCAGAAGGTGTAATACTTTTATAATACAAGAAAATTGTTCATAAACAAAAATGAATTTTTCTAATATGTGTCCATAGGCCACTCGTTAACACAATTAAGATTCGTCTCTATATATATATATATATATATATATATATATATATATATATATATATATATATATATACATACTAACAATTATTATCTTCTCTTTTATTTATATATTTTCCCTTTTTAATATTATCTACCCTCCCATCCTCCTTTATATTTATTTTCTTTCCCTTATTAATCTTACATTTCCAAAAAAAATATGACACTTAAAATATATTTTAACGATTGCCTAAAGCACCAATTAGACAGACCTAACAAAAAAATATGTATAAACACAACTATTTGCTGCTTGTACACATATTTTTTTATATTACAATATAAACTAGGCATGGTGTTAAAATATCATTAACATAAATTTAGCTAGCCCTATCTTAAATATTTGGAAACATGGGTAAAGTAAATTTAGCTACCCACTCAATTAAATGTCGATTCAACCACCAAATCAACCAACTCAATTTTATCAAATTCGAACTTGGCAAACTTTCAATGTAAAACATGAGTTCGACCTCTACCTCAAATTCGAGCCTAGTCAAACTTGAGTTTAAGTCTATTCAATTTTAAAAAATAAAAAATACTTATTTTATTTTTAAAAATGAATAAAATATATGTAATTTTATTATTTAAATAATATATATGTGTGTGTGTGTTTGAGCCAACTCGTGAACTAACGAGTTTAGTTTTTTTATACTTGCTATATATTTGATAACTCGATTTGATTGGTTTGAACTCAATGTTGATGTCAAGAATCGATCATCAAGAAGAAGATATGAGAAAGACAAGTTGAAAAGGAAGAAGAAAAAGGAAGAACGCAGGAAAGATGAGAGAGAGAGAGAGAGAGAAATAAACAGATGAACTAGAAATTAGAAAGAATTGACTTGAAAATTCTGATATTGCTCAATAACTTCCAACCATTTAGAAGTATAAATACACGTTTATCCTTCTTAACCAATCCAAAACCCTCCACTAAACTACAATATTAACAATTAAAGATATGGATTATCCAATACATTTGGGGTCATGACAATACTCCCCTCTTAGAATGCTTGTCCTCAAGGATTGAGCTTTGAAACTAAAACCAATGTTTTGAAACTCGAACCGTTAATTGAATCGGCAAGGTATTTGAGTCGAGATTTAATCGGTCGGACCAGTTCAACCTTGGTTCAATGAGTTTTTTAAAAAATAATTTATATAAATATATATGCACAAAGTAAGACATGCACTGGACTAATTTAAGATTTTATATGCTGAAAAGTTTAATATTTTGAAAGAACTTGGATTTTCACAAATATATTTTTAAAATTATTAGTTGAAACAAATAAATTACATTTCAATCTCAATATTATCTACCAAATAAATAATCTTATATCCAACCCAAAAATACCACAATATTCTGAAATTATACAAAATTCACATCTATGGGAATTAAACACTGTGAGTTTAAATTTTAATTTACATTTTTTGGATTTAGATATTACAACTTAAAAAAAAGTTTGGAGTTTGAAAAAAATCAGGAAAATAGAAAATAGAAATGCAAATTTGATAAGAGGCAAAAAATGAGAAAAAAGTGAGTAGATGTGGCGTATAATAATTAGTCATTGGGATTAAGGAAAACCTATTTTTTTTTCAATTCAATAGAAAAAAACAAAAAAATCACCAATTCAACGGTTCAATCCGGTTCGTATGGTTTGAATTGTTTTTTACCAATTTTTATATCCAATCAATCCAAAATATGAACCAAACCAGAATTATGAATAGTTCGCGGTGTAACGGATCGAACTGGCCGATCCGATCTGATTTTCAAAACAATGCTGAAAACTGGAGAAATGCAACATTCACAGAAATCTTGTGAACTATTTTGGTCAACATCAGACAATCAAATGCAGCTTCATAATCTTCTAATATTGGTTGCTTTCCCAATGGCAATGTGCTACTCAAAGACGATGCAACAAGGGAATTTATTTGATCTCACCCTTCCAAAACTCTATGAAATGCTGTTTTCTAAGTTGGAACAACTCCTTTTGCAACAAACGGTTGTAGCCAATTCCTAATACTAGTCAATTTCTGAATTTTGAGCTTCAAGTTTTCTAAGTTATGCACATATTTCTTAAAGAGTAAATGTGAAACTCTTGAATGTAACAATTCCCTCAAACTACCAGTGCCACCCTTAAATGTAGACGCACACTCAATCTAGGGTCTACTAATATACTGGTTAATTATTGTAAGAAGCTGCTCAACAATTACCAAGTCCGCCGGTAACTTACTTGGCTTCAACATTGAATCAAATACCTTTTTGAACATATCAAAGAAGCCAAGCAAAAGGGAAAAATAATCTTCTATTGTCATCAAGCTCTTAGAAGATGTTACACATTTCAACTCCACAAATGGATGTTTGATCTTGGTATACCAAAAATCAAAGAATATCTTCACCTTAGTAGCTGTCAATAGCTCCTGCAAAGTGATTTTTTCTTCCTCGAAGAGTCCAGGAGTGTCGCACGGATGCCTTCATAAAAATTTCAGATTCTGCAATCACATTCCTCCTTGAATTAAGATTGATTTCTCTGGAACTAATGAACCACTAATTTAATCATTTCTACATCCACACCAGCTTGGTAACCACTAAGGCCATCAAAAACAAGAATGACACGTGTATTTGATTCAGTAGCAAATGATGAATCTTGATCATCAGCAATATCTTCAAGGAGAGACATGCAACCAACATTCAATTTTACCCAAGTGACTATTCTATAATTTTGATTTGGACTTTGATTAATACTTCTTGTAAGAGTGCCACCTTTGAACCCAGTAATAACTTCAACCCATGGTTTAATCACAACTTTGGACTCCTTACCTCTGTCTGTCAATCGGGCCTAATGAGTCGGGTTTTTATAAGCCCAAACTCAGCTCATTTAATTTATAACATCTTCGGGTTTCGGGTTATGAGTTTCGGGTTAATAAATGTGAAACTCATGCTCGACTCACAAACTCATGCTCGACTCACATAATATTCGGGTTGAATCCAAACTCATATAAAAATTTACTCAACCAATAAAAAAAGTTAAAGTTTTAGATATACATTACCAATATTGCTCTCAAAAAAACCGGTAGAGGAGTTGATTTTAACTCTTGGACGGAAGAGGAACTGGTAGAATAAACACTACTTGTTAGTCTAAATATCAACAAGAAATCAAATAATTAATGAAAATTTTTAAATATTGCTACTAACCAGTAAAATCAAGATCAAATTCTTGTTCAAAATTAATTTCCTTAGGTGCATCTTTAATCCAATCTTGAGTACAAATTAATGCTTCAACAGTGGAGGATAACAATGAGCTACGAAACTTGTTCAAAACACATCCCCTTGTACTGAAAGCACTCTCAGATGCAACAGAAGAAACATGAATAGCTAAAATGTTTCTTGTCATCATGGACAATATTGGAAATTTGGCTGCATTAGTTCTCCAATAATCCAATACATCAAATGATTTTTCTTCATCGGCCTTGCTTGGATATATCTTTTCCTCCAAATAAGAGTCCAACTCTGTCTTGTTACAAGTGCTATATTCTTCCTCGTCAAAACTATAAAAATCATCCATGTAATTCTTCTTTACTGTGGAAGAAGTGTTGTTGCCTGTCCCTATAGTTTTTTCGTTTTGTGAAGTTATATCCTACTAACAACTCACTTCATAAACCTTTACATACTCGATGAAAAGATCCTGAAGTGTTGTGTGAACACGATCTAACATATATGGTGCTAAATAGCTCTCATAAATCTTGCTCAAGATGGTCTTCAATTTTCTCATTTTAAACCTGGGATCTAAAACAAAAGCAACAGATAGCAAGATATTTGGCTCTTTTTCTAACCAATATTTCTCAATTTTCACCAACATGTTCGATGCCATGCTTCCAAGAAGTGGACTGTTCTCTATAGAAGTTTCCCTTAATAACATGAACACATGGTAGATTACACGAAGAAACACATTAGCTGTGCAATATTTGCTGCCAGAGAAAATTTTTGTGACAGTATAAAAAGTTTCTAGAAAATCATGAACAATCCGAGCTTTTTCCCAATCATCAGCCAATGGAGGATCCTTGAAGTTCAAATCACGAGTTTTCATACGATCATAAGCTCTCCTATAATGTAATGCAGATTCAAGCATTAAATATGTTGAGTTCCACCTTGTACATATATCTAGAGATAACATTTTGCCTCTAGAAATACATTCCTGGTCAGCATAGTGTAGAAACTCAAGTTTTCTCTTAGCAGATCCTCTAACATATTTAACTGCATTCCTAACCATATGAATACAATCATTAATCTCATCCAATCCTTCTTGAACAATCAAATTAAGAAAATGATCCCAACAACGAACTTGAATATTGCTCCCATTTACCAATAATACACCTCTAAATGAATAATGCTCTTGCAAGCATCTAGCAACAACATCATTAGTTGAAGCATTATCCATAGTTATGGTGCATATCTTATCAATATTCCACTCTAACAAGCAATTAATAATTATATCAGATAGATTCTCCCCGGATATCTTCATTGGAACCAA